TAGTCGAAGTTTGTATTATTATGACTATTACAAGGTAAGTCCGCTGTTATAAAATACTGTCAATCAACCCTTGCTTCACTGTTATGCATATAGACATCTTATGGTTAATCGCATGATGTAAAATGCAAAGTTATTTATGGTGGTTTCAAATAACACAATGGATGGGAGGAGAGCTGATCAATCACATTAGGCTTGCGAATTGGTTAAAAATGTCGTTAACACAATATGGAGGTACATTCAAACCAATGGCACGGTTACTTGGGCATCTGGAAAACGTGGAATGTAATATACAACACAAGCAAACGACTGCTATCTGTCAACTCTAAACTCGTTACTATTGTAGGGCAGATGCTTCGAGGTTGAATCAGATATTCGCAGCCGCAAAAGAACGTAGTGCAAACATCACAAGGCCACCCTGTATACCATATGCTGAAGAGGTACGCTCCACTCATAGAAAGCCATGGTGCCAAGAACACATCCAATAAGCCAACGATGTGTGGGGCAATATTATTGTTTTTACAGATGACATTTGCTTCAGCGTGCAGCTAGATAACATATATTTACTTGAAACAAGACCTTCCCACATTTTAATAAAGAAACGTGGCACATACAGCAGTGGAGATTTGGTGAGTACAGGAATAAGCACTTATAGATCTATCTATATCTACATCCTGCAGAATGGCAACATTAATTCCACATATAATAGGGAGTAAAAATTGTACAAAACTTGGCGATTGTTTAACCAATTCTTTAATTTTGATGATAATACTCGTCCCCACTGTGGTAAAACGGTCTATACACTCTCGTCCCCACTGTGGTAAAACGGTCTACACATTCTCGTTCCCACTGCGGTAAAACGGTCTACACATTATCGTCCCCACTGTGGTAAAACGGTCTACACATTCTCGTTCCCACTGTGGTAAAACAGTCTACACACTCTCGTCCCCACTGTGGTAAAACGGTCTACACATTATCGTCCCCACTGTGGTAAAACAGTCTATACATTCTCGTCCCCACTGTGGTAAAACGGTCTACACATTCTTATTGGGTCATACCCCTCTTAAGTGACTAAAGACCCTAAAAATAGATCTTTCAGAGTATTGACTGAGAATACTTTAGGGCCTTATCAACATTCTGACTTCAAACATCACTGTCAAGCTGCCTATTATCATATTCCATACTGAAGTAAAACTTCACGTGTAAAAATGCAAAACCACATTTAGGTTGGATAACGAGTCATTTGCATATCAGATCACATGACGGATCGTCAGACGCCCGAATGACATAAAAATGAACAGTGATTTTGTCGTAGCTAAAATATTATATATCATAATTATTCCTTAGTTATTTTGTACAATGTAGGTTATTTTTCGAAATTATTATGTTTACAACACATACATATATATATATATATATTGTAAATCCCCTGGTTGTCGGTAACTTTCGGTCATTATTATACTCAAAAACATATATTTCTATATCAGCATTGACTTATAAATCCTTGAGCTAGCGGTAAACCAAGAAATTTTTATCAAATCGTTCTACAATACACAAAACAACTTTTCAAACCAGAAGCTAGAAAAAAACACCAGAATATTACCCGTAGGAAATATAATAGTTGATTAGGCGGTCTTTCAAAAGAAGGAGTGGTTTT